GGATAATTTTTCTTCTGTCTTGTTTTACAAAAATCTATTTCTTTTTAAAGTCTCTTGAAATTCCTTTTGGAAGATGGAGGCAGTAAATCAATAATAAGATGTCATAAATTATAGACTTATTACTCCTCCAAAATAGATTCAACTTACTTAGGAATTTATATTGACTTAAATCTTTCTCTAAAGTGTATATGTTCTTTAAAGGATTTTAGAGATACACAGATAGGTGTAGGAGCAAATTTACCTTTTACAAAGTTTCTAACTGTGGAGTGGTTCCAGTTGAGACAAGGTAGCAGCAGGGGAGGGCAACCCCCGCCCAACAGGCTCTGAAGGGCCCCCTGAGTGTGCTCAACTTGGTAAACTGCTTCTGCAGTGACTCTCAGTTATCCAATGGATAAGAAGTCTGATTGTTCTCACCACAAGATATGAGGCTCATGTCTATAAATCTACACTTACAAGGGAATTAAGTGATGATAAAGGAAAGGAGAGAAAAGATTAGGAAAAATTCAAGATTTTGTTTATCAGTTGTACTTAACACATTTTCCTGCTTCTCCTTAAACTCACATAAAAAAAGCATTTAAGCATATTCACTAAAAATCAATCTAGTAACATTTTTAAAAATTATCTTAAGTATTAAAAACAACTAGATAAAAATCAAGATATCAAATTTAATTTCTTACATTGTAGAGACAAGGCAAATGTTAACATCTTGTGTACTGTTGAACTCCTTCACGATCCTGAGCCTTTCCTCTGATTTTGTACTTCCATCAAGTCGCCGGTAATCCAGCCCAGATGCCATACAGTATTGCTGGAGCACGTCAAGCAACTGGAGGAAAGACAGGGAGGGGGACAAATGGGAATTCTTGGTTTATGAGTTTCTTTCCATCACAGACGTTAGACTTACTAAGTATTATTGGTGCTCGTGGTTTCTATCTTAAAATTCCATGAGCAGTAAATATTTTGAGAGCCAGGTGTAGTAGTGGTAGAACACTTGCCTACCACATGCTGGGCCTTGGTTTGGATTCCCAGCATCGCTAAATAGATAGATAGATAGATAGATAGATAGATAGATAGATAGATAGATAGATAGATATTATTCTCACATCAGACCATATATTTCTTTCCATTTTTCTGAAACTGGCTTTAATGTTCAGAAACCTTTGCTTAAAAAACGATCGAAAAGATCATC